TAATAGTGAGAGCATCGTGGGAAGCAGCCTACTCATTCACATGTCATTGCGACACTGTCATCCTTAAACTGAATCATCACCAATTAAAGCATCTTCGTTCTGTAAAATTACATCAGGAATAGAATCTGTGTAAGGGTGGGGTATGCATTACAGGGGGTGTGAAAGTGGGATATGTCTGTGCGTATTTCAGGAGACAATCTCAGGTGTCGTCTTCGTAAGAATGATCGTTTCTAGGATGAAGCACCATGACCAAAGCAACATGGATAGGAAAGCTATATTCAGCTTATGCTTCTACATCACCGTTCATCATCAAAGGAAGTCAGGACAGGGACTCAAGTAGGGTAGAAAGTTGGAGCCAAGAACTGATGCAGAGACCACGAATGAATATTACCTACAAGCTTGCTCCTCGTGACTTGCTTAGAGCCATGCTCGTGGGTTCTTAGAGTACCCACCAGCCCAAAGATGGCACCACTCACAGTGGGCTGGGCTCTCCCACATTGATCACCAATCCAAAAAAAAAAAAAATGCCTTGCTGAATCTTAGGGAGGCATTTTCTCAGTTGAGGCCTTTCCTCTCTTCTGACTCTAGCTTGATTCAAGCTGGCATACAACTACCCAGTACAAGTGTTCTTCTAGAACTGTGTCTACCTTTCCCTTAGGACAAAGCCTCACTGGCCTGCAGCTCACTACATAGGCTAGGCTGGCTGATGAGCAGTCCCCAGGGCTTTACGAGTCCTCACCTCCACAACACTGGATTTTCAGGTGTCTACCCTCTGGTGCAGCCTTTTGTGGTATGTGTCAGGTATCTGAACTCTTATCCTAATGCCCGCATAGCAGGCATTTTAGTGGTTGAACCATCTCCCAACCATGTCACTTTAGCTATCTACCTACCTACCTACCTATCTACCTATCTATCTATCTATCTATCTATCTATCTATCTATCTATCTATCTATCTATCTTATATGTATAGGTGTTTTGCCTGCATGCATGTGTACCACATGTAGGCCTGATATCTGTGAAGACCAGAAGAAGATATTGGATACCCTATAACTAGAGTTAAAGATGGCTGTAAGCCACTATGTGGGTGCTGGGAATTTAATCTAGGTCCTCTGAAAGAGCAATCTCTCCACCCACCTCACTATAATTTTTCAACACTTAAAAGTAGTTACCATGATCATCAAAAATACAGTTCTCATTGCTAAACACACATTTTTGAAAATGGTGTCTTAGTAACTGCAACATTATCTGAAGGAAAATAACACTAAAACACAATTACAAAATAAAGCAGCTTAAAACAATAAACAAAAATGTACCATAAACTGGAAGTAAACAGCCAACTGATTAATTTTAGAAATGAAAATGAGTAATTATGAATGTATACTTTTATTTACATACTAAGAATCATAAATTGACATTTATTTATTACTCAATTACTCAGACCTTAAAAAAATGAATCATGGTTCTATTTTTGGCATATGAGACTTAACTTTCTAAAAAAATATAGGTTAACATGATACATGAATAACTTTTGATTCAACTTTTAATAATCATCATAATCAATAAGTCTGTATCACTTTGACCAACACAATGATAAACAAATGTGGCCTTATGAAGTTTTGTATATATTAGACTTAATTTGTTACTGAAGCCATTTTCTCTTTAATCATCTTTTCGGTCATTGTGTTTGTTCCTTCTGATTCACTGGCCTGGCTCATCTATAACCATATTCTTCGGGGTTTTGTCTTCAAAAGTAATTTTCTATACTTTATTAAGTTCTACATATTCATCAAATTTGAACCCTTACTTTGTAATGGACATAAGTCCTAAATGTATGATAGTTGTGTTTTGAGTCAAGCTGAATCAGTCAAGCACAGCATTGAATCTCTGAGGCAGGCCTCAGAGAAAGGTGCTGACACTGGACAAGGGCTGTGGGAGGGCTCACTGAACGAATATCTATTATATCTTTTGTTTCCTTGCCCCTATAACATTAAAGATGTGAAAAAAGTGTTTTTTATAGTTTGAAGGGTGGTGTGGCTAATGAGGGTGTAGAGATTATGAACCTTATCTCAACTTTGCATACGCTAATTAACACAGAACAAACTAAGTCTTCACTAGGTTAAGATGCTTACAATTTTAAGCCAAATAGGACCTGGTGGTTCTTACTTGGAAACCCCAGCACATGGGAGGGGAAGGAAGGAGGATCAGAAATTTGATGTCATCCTTTGCTATATTGTAAGTTCAAGACCACCCTGGGCTACATGAGACTTGATCTCAACATAACACAAAACTGCAACAATCGAAATGTCTTGATAAAAAAAAATTTTAAAAAAACACAAGAATTTCAAGCCAAAGGTAAATGCTAAGTAAGTTTTAAACTGTAATGTTTATGTGAGGTTCTTTTATGCCAAAGACAACTAGAGCTCCTGTTTAACCTTGTCTCAATTCCAGAGTAGGGTTCAGCAATTCAGCTTCAAGAAAAGTCAAATAAAGCATTCCGCCTTCTAATAGAATGAGGTAATCAGGCCCAAACCCGAGACATCTATGTGATTGAGGGGAGGATCCTTCCAACTCTCAGCTCTCTTTGGTATGAGTACTGGGCTTCTAAAATCAGGTTAGAAGAGTGTCCACCTGCAATCCAGAGCTCTTCCTATGCCACTATGCTGATTTGCATGGGAGAAAAGAGACTGGGAGAGGTAGGAGGAGGGGAAGCCATCTTCAAGATACGTTACTTGAAAAGTAAATCTATTTTCAATAAAAGGAAAAAGTTTACTCAGAACTTTGCAGGCAGAGCAGACACTGTTAATCCTTTGTTTGAGTGCAGGTTCAGTGACTCCTTTCCACAAATGTGACATCCCATGCCTCTCTCAGCTTGCCATGTCGATAACATGAGTTTGTAAATAGCAGGCTAAATGGAAGATAAACCCGACCTGAAAAAATCAAAGCGTGGAAAGGCCATGTCAGAAGTAGAAGTATGGTTCTCTCAGATGTCAGAGTTCCTTGTGTGGATCTTATGTCTGCTCTAATTAAATTTCAAGTGAAACTGTTTTCCTCTCAAGAGACTTCTGCCTCCTTCGGGGAGGATGGCAGAGAGGCCGGGTATCGACCTGTCTCCCTCATGCCTCAGGAAGAACTCGTAGGAAAATGGTATCCCTTGACTTAGCTCACAAACGGAATGCCCTTTTCTGAATTCTTACACCTATTTAGGGTCTGTTAAAACACTTTCATGTTGCAGAATCGTTGGCATCTTGACTGCTGTGCTTCTATGCTTAGCAATACTTTGTTCAATTACTTCTAAATTTAGAAATTCCCTCCAAATTTTGTGATCTTAATAAATGTTTGCTGAATCACAAAAACAAACATTTAATGATGGACTTTCTTCTTCATGCTAATGTCTGAACTCAAGGTCTTTAACAACTTTGAATTATATTTCAGTACAAAGTTAAATGTTGTGCAAAATCAGAACCACCAGACTGGCCTAAACATATGAAGAAATACTGGGGGCGCCTGACTGTGTTGTGTCCGAACAGATGCAGCTTAGTAAGACAGAGCTGTGCTGCCAACACCTAGCTTCTCTGAAGGGCCAGAGCGAGAACTGCTTCCTCGCTTCATTCCAAAGACAACTTCAGTCGACCCTGTTACAAAGCTAATCCACCCGGTAGTAAATATTACCTGAATATAATGAGAAAGAGAGGTCTCAACCAACTCCTTAAAAGAGAGAAAAGAAGGAAGGAAGGAAAAGAAAGAAAAATTAAAGCAAGTCTTGAACATGCAGTTTGAACTTTGTCTACTCTAAAAAAGGTGCAGAAGTCCCTCAGCCCCAGCATCTGTTTCTTAAGAGAGTCTCATAGTCTCTTTACATGTTGCTGTGGTAAAGATGCCAACAGAGTCATGTAGAGGAGAAGGGGTTTATCTGAGCTCACGGTTTCAGACCACTGTTCACTGTCCTTGGGAGCTGCAGGCATCAGGAATTTGAAGCATCTAGTCACATCCACGGCCAAGAAGCAGAGATGATGGAACAACTCTGCGTGTTTATCTGTATTCATCTCTCTTTCTCTATTCTTCCACAGTCCAGGGCCCTGCCTATGAATCGGTGCCCCCCACTCCTGCCCCCGGTCATCAAGATAAAGCAAATTTACCCACCCACGGGCCATCCTGATCCAAACAATCCCTCATTGAGGGATACCTGATGATTCATGGTTGTGTCAAGTGGAAAAATTATCTACAGGAGACCTGCACGGTAGCAAGCCAGTCAAAATGTCAGCAAGGATAGGGGAAGGAAGCCCCACCCTTTGCTGAGAAGCTCGGGGTAACCTGAGGTACCAGGGCTCTGTAGATAGTTCAGGCTACAATGGTCGGCTTTACCCCATGCTCACGCAGGCGGCGCTGACTGTGCTCAGTGGGCTTTTTACAAAAGGAAATAAGGTTGGGAGGGAGACTTTGAAGGAGATGTGGAAGGAGTTGGAAGGGCAGGAATGGGGGAGTGGGAGTGATGAAAACATATCTCATGAAACACGTGACATTCTCAAAGAATAAGTTTTAATATATATAAAAATATTAACATATACATTTAAATTTTTTTTCAAGGAGGTAATTAAAATTCCGAACTGATGGGAATGTGTGGCCTTTGTTAGTAAATGCAGCAAATGAAACTTTAGGACCGGGTCACGGAAGCTTCCGCAACATGTGGGAGATAGACCGAAAACTGAATTCTGCCAAGAGCCCAAGAGCCGGTGTTCAAAGAGCCTGATTCTTCCCTATAACAAGAAGTGACGGCTGGAGGCTGCCCAAGATACCTGGAAAATAAAATAAAAATCCTTAAACACTCATGTCACATCGCACTACTCTGGATTCAGAGAGCAGATGCGTTTGATGACAGAGGCCACGGGTTCCTCGCGAAAGCACTCATGGATAAATTCAGTCGTAATTTGATGGGCGCTCACATGTGAGATGTTAGAACGAATACTGCTCCCGTCTTACTTTGCTGGTTCTTTTTGTCTAGGACCCACAGATCTCAGCATGAAGAGGCAGCTGGCGACCGGCTCGGGATCCTCCGGCAGTTCCAACTCCAGACCTCAGCTGAGTCCGACGGAAATCAACGCGGTGAGACAGCTTGTCGCGGGGTATCGAGAATCCGCGGCGTTCCTCCTGCGCTCCGCGGATGAACTGGAAAATCTCATTTTGCAGCAGAACTGAGGCAGACGACGTCCGTGCTCGCTGAGTTCCGGATTTCCAGTTTCCACATTGATTATCCTGGTCGTGCTGCACAGTCTTTTAAGAGAAACACTTCCATCGTGCCACGTTGTCCTTGATCTATATTCTGGTGTGTCAAGGAACTTCAAAGGAACTCTGACCTTGAAGTGCTTGAGATGCTCAAATGTGCCCAGCCTCTTGCTTTTTGTTTTAGCGTGTCAGCATAAATATCATAAGCAATTTTTTTCAAAAAAAAAATACACAAGGCTGTGTTCTCTTAATTCAAGGATAAAAATGAAGAAGCTTGTGGTAGATTAAAAAAAAATAGCTCAAGATCCAACTGAAATATTAGTGGAATTTTCTACTGACTCATTGGACTGAAAGGTGAAGTATCTGGAAAAAAAAAAAAAAAACTAGAAAAAGCCAAATTTCTTGTTGCTACGGGATATGACAACAATGAAAAAAGGATCTTGTATTTTAAAAGGAAAAAAAATGTAATTTTTATAAAAGAAAACTTGTTTTTCATTCAAAAACGGTCATTTTTACTTTGGTAAATTTTTCATAGGTCCTAAAAGAAAACTGTTTTTTGAGAAACTACTGTAAGTACCCTTCCCACATCCCTTTTGCCTTCTCCTCTTTTCAAATTCTTTCTACAAACAGAAAAAACAAAAAAACAAAAACAACACTCAATGCTGGAAAACCCTTTGCCTACTTTCGTTAAGCCGTCCCGTCAGGAGCTACTTCCAAGAGACGCCTGCATCTCTGTACCTGTGCCGGTTTCAGAACACCCCGCCACTCGGCAGCTCACCGCGGCAGTTTCTCATCGCAGAATTTTCTAGACGTTACAAAGAGACGTACTGAAAACAAAACAAACCCAGCACGCCGTGCTCTCCTTAGAGCTGCCGGCCCCTGGCTGTGCTGCCCTCCCACAAGCCACAGTCCAGAACAGCTGGACGTAGGTGATTGAATGTGTTGTGAGGTTGCTAGTGACAATCTTAAACTTTGCACTCTTGCGTGTACTTTTCATTTCTAAGTTTCCAGAAAAGGCTGTTATGTCTCCAGATACGATTTGTATGATTTAGATTTTTTTTTTTCTTTTTCCTTTTTCTTTTTGGCTAAAATGGAGAACTCTTAGCAGATAGAGCTGTCTGTTCGCAATGAACGCTCCCCTCCTATCCTGCCCCCGCCCCCCGTGCCCTGCCCTTTTCTTCACTTTTGTGTTAGACACACTCTGAGCGGTGTTTCCTGTACACCGAAGCAAGCCTATTTTTTAAATATTTAAGAAGTGCTTTAGTTCACGCTTGTACTATTTTCCTTTCTGTTGAATTACAAATGCTTCGTGCATTCTTGAATTTGCCTTATTTTATGTAAAACCTGTTATTCGGTTTCTGACACTGAGTTGAAGGCATCAGTGGTGTTCTTTATCTACTTGTTACATATAGTTTTTTCAAGTACTGACTGTGATTGTGACCGGGTAATGTGCACTTTTTCTTGTAACTGTGGACATTGCTATGCTTTTTTTCTTCTAGTGTTTCTAGAATTATTGTTCCTTACAGTTACGTAAACAAAAAAAGCAAAAACAAAAACAAAAAAAATACAAAAAAAAGTTTTGTGATACTGTTGGTGACTATAATGTGAAAATCTTATTGAAATCTGAGTATTTTGGAAATACATAGACGCACAAACATCTTTTAAAGGTGTGAATTTAGAGTTTGCTTATTTAATGAAAATTTTAAAAAATTGAGGGCTGGTATAACTTTCTCTGTTTTTGTTTGGTTTAATAAACAGATTTCTGTGTTAAAACAATGGCTCTGAAAAGGTACAGCTTTGTTTTGTCTTTTTGTGGTGCTGGGGGTCAAACCTGGAGTTTTGCATATGTCCGGCAAGTACTCCAACCCTGGAACACATCCCTACCTGCTTACAGATTCTAGTGCTTAATTTTGATCAGTTCTGTTTAAAATATTCAATGTAGTCTTCTGCATACATTTTGAAAACAATATTTTGTTTTTTCCCTAAATAGCTCAAACCTGACCCACTCAGAATACTGAAAACTGTATTCAGAGATGTGAATGGAATCAGAAAGAACAGGCTACTGTAAAGATTGTTCGTTATCTACTCAAAAGATCGATTTTTTTTAAACTTTATTCTTCATTTTTCTTCAAATATGACCTGACTTTCTTAAGCCGTCTTGACCATTGCAGGGTTCAGGCGGGCAGCTCAGTGTGTAAAGTGTGTGCTCTGTAAGCATGAAGACACGAGTTCAAATTCCTAACACCAACATGAAAACCCTGGCATGGCCACAAATGCTAAGAATCTTTTTTCTGGGTGTGCTAACCAGCCAATCTAGCTGATTGGCCATCTCCAGGTTTAGTGAGAGATCCTGTCTCAAAGCACACGGTGGGGAGTAGCTAAGGAAGACTTCCTGTGACATAGTATGTAAACAGTGCGACCTGCCTCTTGGTTCAGGAATCAGAACTCAGGCTCAGGTTTGGTATGAACATGAAACATTCTCCATAACGGTCATGGAATACGGCCTCAAGTGCAGTCTGAGCTCAAGTAGGTCACACTTGGTTTTGTCTGACTTACCTGCCATTATCACTCTACGGCCGCTCACAAAGGACTCAGATGCTCAGTGTCTCCTGTGTGTGTCTTTGTAAAGAAGGCACCATGTCCCTGTCATTTTCTCAAGGAACTGAATTAACATTCTCCTTTCCTTTTGCCTGTGACTTGCACCCACCTGTGAATCAGCCTGACGTCTCTCTATTTGGGAACAATGACTCAACAAATAAAGGTACACAACTGATGAGCTGAGCTGATCCCCTTCGACCTCCACATACGACTGTATACACACACACACACACACACACACACACACACACACACACAGTTTATTGTGTGATGACTTTTAATGGGTACAGAGCGCACACAATCATAAGCAGCAGTCACCGAATCTTCTTAGGTTCCATAGCTCAAGTAACTACATGGGTAGAGTAAGCATCAGACATAGTAACACCAGCATACACTGGGTTGCCCCACACAAAGGGAAGCATCCCATGCCCTGTACCTCTCACAGTGACCTCGGACGCTTGGCACAGTCTATCCCCATACTGTAGTCTAAAAAGGCAGAGGTCTTGCTAAGAGCACTGCCCTAGAGCTGAAGCCAGCATTTGGCCCAGCCACCCATGCAGATGGTCCTCTCTGTAGATGGCCACTACCACCAAATACTAAATAATTCCCGTTTTGTACTGCACCTTAGAACCTGAGGTCCATATTAAAACATTAGCAGTTTTATTTTTATAGATGAATTATAGTTATTCATTGAATGATTTGATGAAATATTTCTATGGTTGTTGAGTTTCCTTCCAGGAGCAACCTCTACAAATATAAAATATTTGCAATACAACCTGGTGGCTGGAGAGGTGACTCAAACATTAGGAGCATTAGTCTGCTGTTCTTCCAGAGGGCGTGGGTTCTAGTCCCAGTCCTCACATTGCTGCTAACAACCCTCTGTTACTGCAGTCAGGGAATCTGATGCTAGCTTCTAACCTCTGTGGACTCCAGGCATGCAACTAGTACCAGACATACAGTGAAGTGAAACACCCATGCACATAAAATTAATATATATATAATTATTATATATTATATATGTTAATATATGAAAAAGTTACCACTAGTGGCAATCAGTTACATGTAACATAACAGAGGGTTTCAAAATATGTGGTGTTTTGGGGGTTTTTTTGTTTTTGGTTTTTTTTTTGGACAGAATCCTGCGTTCACCTTGTTAGCCTCTCTCTCCCTAAGTGCTAGGATGACATATGGGTTATCACACTGACACAAATACTGAATCTTATTTTAAAAAAAGATTCAAAGGGACCATCCGTGTGAACCCACAAGGGGAAGCCTTATTATAAATCTTGATACCCACAGATGCAGTTACCCTCTAAACATGAATATTTGTCCTAACACTTTCTGTCTGTTGCCTGTGTTTCATGCTTAGTTCACACTGAGAACATTTGAAAATAAAGCAGGTAGACAATAACATATTATCTATTTTTTTCTAACATTTTGGAAAACAGGAATTTGGAAAAGCAAGAATTAAGCGAGGGTAAACTATGGAATGTTTCCACCGAAACTAGTTCTCCTTCAAGTTTGGGCCTCTGTTCTCTAGAGAGGACAGGGACCCAAACTTGAAGGAGAACTCCAATTTCTCACTCCAATTTCTGATTTTTTTAAATCTTTTCCTCTCGAGACAGAGTCTTATGTGGCACAGGCTTCCTCAAACATACAACTGAGAATGACCCTGAATACTTTTGTCTTACCCATTCCACCTCCCAGGATTATAGGCATGCGACCCCATACCCACTATACACTGTGCTAGGAAATGAACCCAGGGTACTTCCTGCACACTAAGCAAGCCTTCTGCCACCCAAGGTAGCTTCTTCCTACCACCCTTAAGCTCTGTGGATTAAGATTTACAGCCCACCTGTATTTTTTGATTGATGGTCCTGATGCCATAACTTCTTTGAAGCTCTGATTTGACCTCTTCTTCCAAAACATACATGGATTCCTGTGAGTATACGATGTTCACTTGAGTAATACATGGTAATCTCTTTATATTAAGGTAAGCTAATTAGAAACCTTAATTCAACATACAATTTTAATTTTTTTGTTTGACAGGTAACAAAACATCTGTGAGCTCTCATTAGGATGTATGCTTCTCTAGGGGTACGTTAGTTTACCTCTGTAGCTCTCTGATTTAATTTCCTTTGTTCTTTGAAATACCTCTCAGGACCCAACTGTATTTATTCTCTCCTCTAAGAAAGACATTATTCAGCAGTATGTCTTTATAAACTCTCATCAGCTGCGGCCCCTGCTCTTAAAAGAATTGTCTCATAGAGAGATCATTTTAGGAAGTATTTCTGGAATTTGTCATCCCAGTTAGATACAACAAAGATGGTAACTGGTAGAGGCAAATCTTTCAAGGGAAATAGAAGAACATTTCTGATTTATTCCTTAGCATTAATTTCTTAGAAGCTCTTTCTACCCAGGTAGTTCCCTGGGACCTGCTTGCGAGTCTCAACTCATTAGGCCAGTGGGATACATGAGATTCCAAAGTTCACTTAAATCCCATAAACTACCCACCTTTATCCATAGGACTTAGAATAATAAGCATCAGTGCTGTCCAATTTACTTTGAACCAGAAAAAATATATATTTAATATCTGATAGGATTAGAGCTGGTGATTTGGTGATAAACTACAGAATTTAGGATACTCCTGGAAGCTTAAAACTTAAAGTTCTTTGCTTCCAATTCTTTGGATCCATTGTGTCTGGCTCCTGCACAAAAATTGCATTTCTCCTCAGTTATTATTTTCCTCCTTTGAAGACATTAAGAAAAAAGATGATAGCAAGAATATTAATAATCACCTTAATTTCATGAGAAAAAAAATAAGATAAAAAACAGAATATTTAGAATAAATGTTATTGAATAAAGAATGGGATTAGGACAAGTTTTATTCCTGAAAAATCTTGAAGTCTTATACTGTTTTTTTTTTTTAATTGCAGTGGTTAGACCAAGCTCACAGGAGAAAGGCCTTCTCCTTACTCATTGCACTCTTGCGATGGCAGACCCGATGGGAGGGTACTCCACATCATTTATCTATTTCCCCTGATACAGGACAGTCAAGTCTGTGCTGCCCTTTCAGAGGACCCGAGTTCAGTTTCCAGCACTCACCTCAGGCAGCTTACAAGCTGGTTACTCAGTTCAGTTCCTGGGGCTCTGACTCCATCTTGTAGCCTCTGCACGCACCTGCACATAGGCGGTGCACTTAAAATAATGCAGACAAGTAAAATACATGACTAAAAAAACAAACAAGATAACAATGATCTTTGATCTAGTGAGAGTCAGGAAATGTAGAAGAATGTCAAGAACTAACATAACCTTTTCTTCAGGAAATAGATTCTAGGAAAGGCAGGTAAGCCAAAAGAAATCTCAAAAAAACAAATCAAAACAACAAAAGCACCATTATCAAATTTCTAGTTTTGAGAAAGAAAATGTAAAGGTTGGATGAGCTGCCTGAGGAACCTTACACACCACCCTTCAAAGAGCCAAAGCCTTCCCGGCCTTTGCTTCGATGGCCCAGGAGGAAAAGTGTCCTTAGGACTCACCATCTGCATTCTCCAGTGGGGCTGGAAGGCTGAAGAGTCAGGCAGGTCAAAAGGCAACATTTCTCCAGTCTTAAACACGGCTGTTGCTGAGTGTTGAGGGACCCTTCTTCCTCCCTCCCTCTGCGAAGAGGACTCAACCCCATCAGTTGGCCATGGTGCAAACAATCTGTTTCTCTTTTGTAAAGATGCGATTGACATGAATCAAATGTACACAGGAACAGAGCTGGGTGTTATGCTCCTGTAGCTGCCTAAAGCATGCCTGATTAAATCCCTTTATCCACCCCACACTCTTGGCAACAGCCATTAATAGTTCATTGCCTTTCAGTTTTTGCATGTTAGAGAGAGTGCACGGCACTTTTCTTTCTGTGACTGGTTTGTTTCAATTAAATTCACATTCCCCAGTTCCTTCCATTTCCCCACAACTAATAGGATTTCATTAACACAGGACGATGCCCACCTGTACGCACACGTCACCAGCTTGGGCTCTGGCACCCAGCCTTATTCCTCTTTAAACTATTGTGCACGGCACTGTAATAAACATGAGCATTCAGGTATCTCTTCAGTGTGCAAATTTAACTTTATTTGAATGTATACTCAAA